TCTAAATTTAGAATGTCTTGATTATAAAACAGCAGAATTGACGATAAGAAAGCTGTAGGTCAGGCCTGTCAAACTGCCTGTGGGCCAGATATGTCACACCTGGCCACGCCCACCCTGGCTCCGCTAAGGCAAAAAACATCTCAATACATCACAATCTGGCTCATGACGTGATCGAGTTTGACACCCATGCTCTGGGCAGTCCAGATGAACACAGAAGAACTATGGGAAAAAGAACATCCTAGTCAAGGACAAGTCCAAGCACAGTTGCAAACAAAACTATTTATGTGTGTGATAGAGTTTCATTGTAAGAATAATTGTTAAAGATGTTTAATTCCTTGTTATATACTATATTGTGGATTTTCTAGCTATATTTTATATATAGATCCATTTTTGTTATTGCTCATTTGATATTTTTAGTCCACTGGGTATATAAATGAAAATGCACTAATTAAGTTTGCAAGGCCCAAGTCACAGAAAATTCAGTGGGTTTTGAGTTGGGTATTCAAACTGTTTGTTGTTATTTTGGACTGAGTGAAACATTCAGGAAAAGAGAAACAATTGAAACTAATTGCTGTGTTGATTCTCAGCTTGCAACTCAATTGGAAGTTGCTGTGCTACTGCAAGCTATGATTTGAGAGGTGGTGGCTTGGTTAAAAAAAACCTGGAGTGGACCTCTTTATCCTCAAGGAACCCTGCTTCAGCATTTTCTCAGCATTTTCTTCAGGGCATGGGGGCGGGGAGAAACAACTCAGCCCAATCTTCTCATTCCTGTCACTTCAAATTCTGAATGTTGAGAAGAAGATCTGAAAAATGAAACTTTGAACTTGAAAAAATGAACTTGCTTTTGATCTGCCAAATAGCTGAAACATTGTTCTATTGAAATTCCCCACTGCATCAGTGGTGGTATTCAGCAGGTTCTAACCAGTTTTGGAGAACCAGTAGCAGAAAGTTTGAGTAGTTCAGGGAACCAGCAAATACCACCTCTGATTGGAGATTTTACAGTTTCCTTCCCCTGCTATGCCCACAGAACCAGCAGTAAAAAAGTTTGAATCCCACCACTGCACCTCATGGAAGATTTTGAAAATACCAAGAGATGAATGCACACATAATCTCTCCTAGAATTTCCTGCCCAGGCAACAGTGAAATGCTGAGAGAAAATCTTTTGTCAACAAGACATCTGGATCCTTTCATTCAAGATTCAGACCTGAGCATGGAATGGCAACTATGTTGGTCACACTTTTGGATGATTTCTGCAATGGTCAGGATGGGAGGACTGGGGATGTCCACCCTTACCTTAATTTTCTTTCGATGCCATCAACCATAGCAACCTTCTATGACCATGTCCAGAGCCTCCTAATGGAACTGGCATATATGATATCATTGTGCAAAAGTCTTCCTGAACATGGTCTTTTTTGTTCTTGGTCTTTATTCATGGAGACGTCTTAGCCTAGTATTGGAATATGTCCCTTATATGTTTACAATTTGTTTAAATTAAGAATCATGAAAGATTGGATAAGCAGTGGTAATGCCTGGCTTCTGACAGTATAAATAAATAAAATAAATAAACAAATAAATAATACATCACATAGCAAAACCCATGTAAAGGAAGCCATATATCTTGTGTCTGTATGTGCATATATATTTCTTTGTTATATATTTGTTTCACACACACACACACACACACATTATATATGATAAAGATAAATCACCCATTTAACCAGACATCTGTTTAATCTCAAGAAAAGAAGACATTTGTTTTAATTATAAAAGGAGACATCTGCTTTAAGTCTAAGATAAGAACACATTTGTTTGTAATAAGCTAATAAATTCCATTCCATTGATAATGATTGGTTAAATTTAAACTAAAACCTATAAAAAGGAGGATAGAGAAGCAGCCCATTGTGGTCACTCATGCAAAGTTATTTGACAGCTTTGGGTTGAATAAATATATTTTATTTGACCTTCACTGAAAGTCTGGTTTGTTTTATTGGAATTTCTGGTCTGGAAATAAATCAGGAAAAAGGAGTTTGATCCTTCAGGCACTACAAGTGAGATCTATTTAAAGGTATACAACCACATCCAGATGGACTGTTTCTGACATCAGTCCATCTTTGTATCTATAGTCGCTCTTACTCATTAGAATTTATCCTGAGATAGTTTTTCCCTATCTAGCTTGATTGAGCAGTAAGTTCTTGAGGAAGGACACACCACTGCCTCTTTCAGAATAGGAGGCAGGCAACTCCCATTCAAGAATGTATGAGCTACAAACTGAATCCAAGCCTCCTGTCACCACCCTGAAAGCTTTCACCAGCAGACAATACCAATAGGAATCCAATAACTTAGAAAAAAACTGTCCATTTCCTCAGGGTCCCACAAGTTAAAGTTGATTCCAGATCACCACAGACAATGAGGTGTTTGCTATGTCAACTGAATTTCAGTCAAGCAAATATGAGCATTTTGTTCCTAGAAATTGAGCAAATTTCTCATAATGAACCATCCGTAGATCTTGTGGTTTGGTTTTCTCCAAAAGGATGGAAGGAATTAAAAGTTCAGTAGGGCACTTTTTCATGGATGCAAGGAGCAGTGAATTAGGGCTTCTTTGCTGCTCTTGCTGCCATTGAAGAAGCTGGGCGACTGGAAAAGAGAATTGGCTTAAGATTTTGGAGACAGATATATTTATAGATGATTTTCCATGATTTTTCAACTGTCTTTGAAAGAATACTGATAAACATAAGTGATTTCTGAGAAAAGAAATCAGTTGGATTTCCTCTGGGCAAAGAGGACATAGGCCTTGCTTGTGCATTTTTATAGAAGTTATAGAATAATAAGTGTTTGTTTGTTGTCTTATATGCTTTGTTGTTTCTAAGGAAAACATTTTGAAAAGCTTTACTTGAGAAACAACTCATGTACATCTGCAACATGCTGTATTTTCTTTTCTAATGGGAGCTTGTTCCAAGACTTGGTGCATTTTGTTCTATGTATCTAATATTGAAAGGATAAAAAAAAAATAGGAAAGACACATTACTCTGAGCTGACCAGTTCTGTATTTAGAAAACCAAAAAACTTACAGAAGTATTTCGAACTGAGCCTTGTTGGACCAAGTAGTTGGTTAGCTGACAAAGAAATGTATCCTGAAGATTGTCATGGCTGGGCTCAGTAGGGTGCTGAAAAAGGACATCAACCTCAAATGAGAAAGCAAAGGATGCCAAGGAAAAGAAATCCTGTCAGGGTGAGAAAAAAAATCATCAAAGTCAATGTACATAAAGCTGCTGGAACATTACCACAGGAATGTTGTGCAGTTTCTTCAAAACAATGTGCCAAAAACTCATTAGGGGCAAGGAAAAAGAGAAGTGTCTCATTGAAACAGCTGCCACCTCACATGAAATCAGTTGCTCTGCACCACCAGCCAGGCCATGTTCTCCAAGGGCATTTAAGCACAAAAAAAGAACACCATAACAGCTGGGGAGCAGAAGAGAAATCCTGAGACTAATTTCCTAGCTTTTCTGCTTTATGTCTTCTTCTCCTTCTCCTTCTTCTTCCTTCTTCCTTCTTTATTCTTCCTCTTATATTTGTACAGAAATCTCCCGTGAAACAGTGCACTTTGAAAATGACAAAAAGACCAATACATTTTTCAACTGAGTCTGAGTTTTTTTTAAAGGATAGACCAAGAAAATTAAATACTGTAGTGTACAGTTAAATCTTATAGCTAGGTATTTCATAATTCATCTTATATTACCTTAAATTGTACAGATTTAGATACAACTCTTTGAAGTCTATCAGGCTGAAGCAACTATTTTCACAGGTCTGATATTAACCTGAAATCTTTGCAAAACTGCAAGAGACTTTTGAGAAAGAAAAAAAAATCACTGGATCATTTGAGTTTCAGGCACATACACATATCCCAAGCTGCCATTTCTTTTTCAGTTGGATGAAATAAATGACTGAATGAAATATAAGACTATTATACAATAAAAATACCTTGTTGAAAATATCTTGGTTAACAAACAAGTAATAATTAAATAGTTTAACATATTATTAACTGTATAGGGCTATGATATGGCATATATTAAGACTTAGTATTTAACATAGGATTACAATTAGTTTCTTGTTAACTTTTATCTTAGTTTACTGTGCAATCCTAAATGTGTTTAGGCAGAATTTAGGCTCTTTGATGTCAATAGATGCACTCCCACATAAACATGCCTTAGACTAAACTAAATGGAACTTACTTTCAAGAATACAAACATGGGATAAAGTTACGATGAAACGATGCAAATTACCTCTGTCCATCATTGTGGTTCCTTTTTCTGAGCTGCCTTCTACTTTGATCATAACAGGTATTGATTTGAATTCAAGATCTTGAACAGAAAGGAGTAATTTGATGAGGAAATTTCACTTATTCTAGTTTAGAGAGCTTTAAAGAAAAGTGATACATACATTTCATTATGCTTTACATTATACTTACATTGTAGAGTACCCTTTTATTCTTAAATTGTCAAATGGGGGTGGGGGGAGATACAAGTGACTTTTAATTAGTGAGTTGGCACTATCAATATTAATAGCATAAAAGAAGAACAGGGTAATAAAAGAAATTGCGTTTAGAAAAATAATATCCTTGCTAACTGCTACTGTTCATGCCCAAACCCACAAATCCTGCCAAATAAGTGAGGTTCATATTTCCTTCTGTCTATTTTGTACCATGTATTGTTTTACTGTAAAGTCAGGAGAGGTTACCCTGCTAATAATAAATGCAAAGTGCAAGGTAAATATATAAAGTGTGGGTATGTATGTACAGATTTGCATAGGCACATGTGATTTGCTTAACGAGGGTGGGGAGCCCTCTTGCCTGAGGAGAAGGAAATGTTTTTCCACATGATTCTCTCCACCGGCAAGCAGGACACGCATGTAGTTTAAACGCTGAGGAGTTTGGCTGCCAAAGAAAGACGTTATTGTTATGATTTTCTCCTCCTTCCCTCGCTCCCACCCGCCCTCTCTAAAAGAATCTCTGAGGAACAAAACCAGAGAAAACACACACAGCTTGGAAGAGGCTCACATTTGTATTAGGACTGGATCAGAGTGAGAGAGGGAAGAAGGAGGAGGAGGAGGAGTAAAGTGGGGGACAAAGAGTCCGGAAGTTAAAGAACACAAAAGCAGGCAGGAGGAAGACAGGTGTCAACAGGTAAGCCTGGATCAAGTGTCTTCTTTGGGAATAACCTCATCTAGCAGGGACTGTTTCTTTCTTTCACCACCAGTCAAATGGGATGTTTCCCTCTCTACTTATCCTCTTGTTGTTTTGCAGGGTTTCATATCTGATTTTTTGACTCATAAAACTTCTGACCACCAGAAAGACTTGCATGTGAAGTTTGTGATTAAAAAGCTGAAACTGTTTCCATGGGATTTACGGATTTCCCCCCTCCCCCTTGTTTTGTTTTCCTGTGCATGTCAGTCTCCTGCTTATGAACCCCACAGAAAAGCAAGGTTTGTTTTCAAAAGCTGCATCATTGATCAAACTGGTTCACAATAATAGCTTTAATAGATGGAAGAAAGAGAGCTAGACTCCAGGTCTATATGTTCTACATGCTTAAGAATGGAATGTCTAAGTGGTACTGATTAATTCTATTTGCATGAAATTTAAAGTTGTTTTATCAAAGCTATGTATCTTGTTTGAAAGAAGAAAGAGCTTCAGAGTTCTTTTGAATAGCCAGTGATGAAAATTTGCTTCTTATGAAACAATGATATTTGAAAAAAAAATCTTGTGATGTTTGCTTTCTCTCCAAGCAAAAGAATACCCAGGCTTTTCATTTCTTAAACTAGTTTTCCTTTGTAATAAGAAACTGAAGTTCAGAAGGAAGGAACTAAACAAACATTTAAATACTCATAAACTAGGATCTTAGTTTTCAATTCCCTCCCCATTTTTTCTAAACCTAAAGGTGAGTCTTAAAGGATTTAACTAACTGCAATGAATACTTTACCTGGAAACTCTCTTAATTTAGAATTATTTACTTCTGAGTAAGTATGTGCAGAACTGTTCTGCTGCTTAGCAATATGCATGTATTTACTTGGAAGCAAGTCCCACTGTTTGTTGTATTTGTTATCCTTAAATAAATAAAAGCAAATCGGTCCCCAATGTAAGTTTGAACACATTAGATTTCCCTATAGCACAATCCTAAATATGTCTAAGTTGAACATGCATCCCGTTCAATAAATGCAATTTTTTCCAGTGACAGATTAATCTTTATTTCTTTATTAAATTTATATGCTACTCATCTCACTGTTAACATAACTGTGCAGGTTTATTGAATGACTGATTGAATTTTAGATATACTGTATATGCTGAATTTAGGAACATGCCTTTCCAAAGCACATTACTGGTTTAGCATTTCTTTGAGCCAAATGATCTCTCATTACTTGTTCCTGTGATGACTGGAGGGTTGGGAAAGATGACATTCTGCAGAATTATTCCACAAGTCCTCAGATTTGCTCAGGAGCCTGGACATTACTTTCTCTGGACCTTTATCCATTTCAGTGGAAGACAATCACATCAAAGAGAGACGCATGAGATATATCTTGTAACATTTCAACTCTTAAGGGACAGCAGATCTATTCTTGATAGATTGAGGTCAAGTGCTTTCCAAAAGAATTGTTTTCCTGCAATATATGTACTTTGTGCCTCGCTTTTCCAAGTGGAATTGAATCTAACTCATGTGATTTTGTGAGAAATTAAGAAATGTTGCTGAAGGGAAGTGTGGGCACATTTCCCTCACACAATAAAAAAAATTGGGGGAAGGCAAGATAATAAATGAGATTGAAATGTGAGAAGGATATAAGCAATTATGAGAACTCATGCAGGCATTCACCTCCTGGGGAAATAGCTGGACTGAATTAGAGGTTCAACTTCATAAACAAAGTTGAAGTACACAAGTTAATCTGATAATGCTTTGAAATGTTTGATCATTTTTACTATATTCTCTCATAAACCAGAAAACTAAGTAACCAAGTAACAAAGATATCACTAGTACAAAAATCAGTCATGAGAATAAGACGGATGGCGACATTATCAAAAGTGGCCATGATAGACAATTGGTTAATGGAGTAGATGCAGCTTTCTAATCCATCTCAACCTGGTCATACAAGTTGTCAAAGAAAAGGTGTCTTATTCCAAGTTACTGCAAGATAGAAAATGTGTAGAACTCCTTTACAAGGCTCTAGGCAGATCATTAAAAATCATGTGCATGAACTGCTTCAGTTTAGATAAATACAGGAGACTTATATATTCTAGGTGATATGTGCTATTTATGATATGTCAGTCAGCTTTCTTTTAGGAGGCCAAAAGCCTTGGTCAGCACTGCCCAGTCTGAAATACATAAGTATAAACTTCAGCCATCAGAGATACAAATGGAGATGGTTCATGGCTGTTGAAACCTGTAAACTGGACGTGTTTTAAATGGGGGAAGGCCCTTTTTTCAGGATTCTTACCCTCCCAGTTATGCATTTTATATTTGCAGCTCCAAAGAGCAGGAAATTCCATTGGAAAATTATGTTCTCAAGGGAAATAGCTAGAAGACTGGGCAGTGCTGATTCTCCTTTATAATAGGAAACTGGATGGGGAAGAGACAGCTTACAACTCTTATAGCTTTTCATCCTGTTTTTGTGTCCTCGGGCCAAGAATTGTAAATGAACCCCATAAATGCATAATCATGCTATTGTTTTTGAAATCTGGATTTAGGCATCTGGAACCATAACATTAGCTATAAAGGGGCAAGTATTAACAAAGAGGGAGTTCTCCCCTGGTGTACTGCAGTATTGCAGAAATTAACAGACTGGTTGGTCCCAAAAGCTTTCATCTAGGCAGGCACACCCTATCTGTGAGTAAGCCTTCGCTGAAGAACAAAGGATGTTGCAGGACGTTGCAGTTGAGGCTTCTTTCTTAACCCAGCCCACACATAATTTGGACTGGTTAATAGTATAATTGTACTTGCCCAAGGCAGGCACTTTCCTGTTTGGCTTTTAAAACTTTTTGGTCTAGTGGGAGAGGTGGTCTTTTAGCATTGTCTCTTTTTCTGCATTTGAAAACAGAGCTGTATACCTGCTGCTTATTGTGAACTCCATGTGGCCCTCAGTACTCTGATATCCACCATGAGGTGGCATGAAATGGGGAGTACAACAGGGGATAATCCATAAATTTACCAGCTAAACTTTGGGGTAGATGTTTTTCTTCAAATAGAAATGGATTATTAATATTGATGTCGATTGTAAGCTTTTACTTTGGCTGTTTTGAATGTTTGGTTCCTACTTAGCCTGTTCTTTTGATGTTTTAAACTCCAAATTATTTTGTTTTAACAGCAAAAGAAAGATTATGACTCATATAAACACTGGCAAGCAGAGGAAGTATGAAAACAAATAGTCAAGGCTTAAACATTTGGCTAGAATCCAGAATATTACCAATAGAGAAAGCAAAATTACCAGTTTTTTATTACTATGAGCTCTGGCCCAATATGGAGAACTAACCAATTTGTCCAAGGTTACTGCCCATGAAATGTACTTCATCAGTGCATGGAAAACCAGGGATTGCCCTAGCCAGACAGCAATCTTATTGCTAAAGGCCAATGAGAGTCGTCTTCTCCAATCATATGTACAATTGGATCTTTGGTTGCAATTCAGGCAGTAGACAGATGCTGAAGCCAAAAGAGACAGATGCTCATATGTATAGCACATTTTTGCATGCAAAAATCCCATTTTCAATCTCTGGCTTATACAGGTAGGGTTGGGAAATGCTCCAAATTCATATCCAGACTCAAGAGCAAACAATACTGGGTAAAGTAAGGGGAATGATGTTCAATCAGAGAATTATTTGGATTTTTGTATTCTGAGCCATGTTTCTGAGCTAGCTAGTCATTTAGAGTATAAGAGTCCACGGGGTTCATGAAGGGAAATCCTTGTAAATTTTCTTTCACACTTTTCTGAGAATGAAGTGATTGCCTTTTATATGAAACTCCTGTATTATAAGACCAACATGTTTATAGACATGGGTCTGCTACTACGTGTTGTTAGTTTTAAACCTCTATTCTTAGGCAAAATTGTTAGAGTATTACCTTATTTATCTTCTTAAACCTGTGAGGTAACCTATGTGAAAGATATAGAGAATAAGAAGGTCTTAATCCATATACTATCCAGTGATTTAATTAAAGCATATTTAATTAAAGCATATTATATGAATGTCTATGAAGATTCACAGTTATCTAGGTCATGGGTATGCCAAAGGTGCGTTTTCAAAAAGCAATTGGCCTTTGTTTTTCTCTGAAGACATTTCGCTTCTCATCCAAGAAGCTTCTTCAGTTCTGAGCTTTGGGACATATTACATGGAATCAATTCCACAAGAAAATTGAGTTTAGAAGCAAGGCATTAGTTTACAAGAGGAACATTATATTTGGAAAACATTATAGAATTGCTCTATGAGGGAGATAGGATATATTTCTAGATAGGATATAAAATAAATACATAAACTATTTTGAACCAGTGCTTGTGCCACCCACCCCCAATGTTCCTTCCCAAGTTATTGTTAGGAGGTTAAAATGAATGTTGGTCATGAATGCCACCTTAAATGCCAATAATAAATAGAGGATGTACATAGGAAAAAACAGTAGATAATCTGAATCTAAAAAGGTTTCCCAACTTAGTTGGCATTGCTACAGAGCAAGGCAAATGAAGATATTCTTATCTCTTTTTCTTTGTCAGATCCAGGATAGGCTTTTATTATGATATGGCTATCACAAGATCAAAAGAACATTGAAATAAAAAGGAATATTCTGAAACATTTGGTTGACAGTTCTCATTTCCATTAGCTTTTTAGCTGGATACTAGAAGTTAGTAAGAAAAGGGTGGTATGAACTGTATGCACTCCAGAAAAAAAAACCTGCTTGGAAAGATTCTCAGTTTGTATGACTTGCTTCTGCTCTGGATGGATTTGCCCACACAAACTCAGCATAGACATTTTGCTTGGCAAATCGATGGGATTATTTTAAGGAATGTCGTAAATGTTTAATCTTCCTTAGGGAAGGTTTATTTCCTAATGTACTTGGCCAGACCCAGTGGCTTGTAGCTGATTTGTTCTATTTTATTAAAGAAAATAATTTGTGTAAATATATAATTTATATAAATGCTAGCCAGCTTAGATGAAACAGTCAAACTATAGCAGAGATATTATTTGTTAATTCTCTAAAAGACAGGAGGATTTTTTTTTTTTATGAAGCTGGCATCACTGCAAAAAGAACTCAATCTTTTTAGGACAGCCCTTATAGCAGAAGGAATTACTGGCAAGACATTTCAGGATTTCTATGTAAGAACAAGCACCTTGAATTTGATCTGGAAACCTGTGGAGAGCCAAAGTAGCTCAGCTAGAATTTAAGGACATCCTCACATACAAAATGCTAAAATAATCTAAATGCTTTAAATTTTACACTGAATAATTCATTTATACTCACAATATGAATCCTTCATCATTTGTAGTTTTTATTAGCAATAAAGTGTCCTAGCAACTTTGGTGTTCTACTTTGATTACATAACCCTAATCTGCCTCATCTCTGTCTCATGATTTAAACAGTCTTGTGCAATGCTTTATGCCTTACAAAATGATCGTTTTTTCCTGATAACCAATACAGAACAATGGTATGTGAAGTTTCTTTCATTCTTTCCCTTCTCAGAGAGATATAGTTATACGACCTTGATTGGTTATTGATAGATTTCTGAGCGAGAAATAGAAAACATTGGCTACTCATCAGCCAATTGGAACCCTCAAAATATTTGCCCCTCCTCACTTGTTGCAGTGAAGCTAATACATTCCATTCGCAAGCCAGGGTAGCAAAGAGACTATAAATATTCTAGCAAAAAACTATATTGATACATAAATGTCTGGCTATGTTAAGCATGAGGAAATGGTTTTATATACTCATTTGGTTGATGAAAAACTGGATAGTTGAAGAGAAGAACTTGCCAAATCATCATAGCTGGACTCTCCAAACATCAGGGTGTCTCAAGCAATAACAATGAAATGTGCACTTGTTATTTGTAACTAAGGCTCATATCATACAAACAACAAATACTGTGGTTACTATTGGAAATGAAAAGGAGTCATTCCCCTGTAGTGAGCTGTTTGTGTGCAATGACTTTCCTTGCACATATTAATTTCCACACAGTTTGCTGTTCAGAAGTGCCAACGGGATAATTTCCTGATGGAGAAAATGGCAGCCAGCCAGTGAGATGAATGTCTGTATTCGTAGAACAGCTACCTTCTTCATTCTGTTTCCACTAATCTTCACAATTATTATTCAAGTGCTGGGAGAAACAGCCAAATGCCATTAAGCAAGGGGCTGGGAAGTAGGGTAAAGACCCTCTATATTATTCCCCTCCTTTCCTGCATGCCCATTCTTTTGAGCAAGCACCAGTCCTTCCTTGCTACTAGCTTGTTGTTGTTGTTGGCTTCACTTAATCACCTTTCCCTGAATTACAGATCAGTTTTGGGGAAAGGACCATAACTAAATGAACAGGCAAAGACAAATCCCTGTTTAGGTCAACAAGTATTATGCGGGATTGATAAATGAGCATGCCTTCCCTATTTCTCTGATCGACATTGGTGTCACTATGCCTACAGCACCACAGGCTGATCATTGCAAAGTGCTGGAAGTCAGAACTATACATGTCTGCATCACATAAGTTAGATTGCTGCTATGGTTGAAGATGTATGTTCTGTCCTTGTTTTAATGTAAAATTAAGCTGCTGCTCAAGTAAACTTCCATAAAGGAAAATATGGATGCCTGTGTGTCATTAAGCAAACAAGAAAGTCCTTCCAAGTCTTAAAAGTAGACTTTTATAACAACAAGGTGAGGGACGCAGCTGGTGGTTGTCACTGCCTCCTCATAGATAACAGTGAAGGCAGTTGAAAAGTAAACAGCCACCACATTCTATAAAGACTTGGTGCTGTCTTACTTTGTCCTGTTGTTTCATTTTAGCTTTTAATTTACCTTCTTGTTGGAATCAAATAGTGACTTCTTGGCACATCAGGAAGTTAACAAGTGTCTCATTAAACAGGAAGGAATATATAATCTCTTCTTTTACTTTTTCTGAATGTGTTATTTGATGATATGAGGATTCAAAGTAGATATACAAAATGACCTAATATCTATTAGCCTGTAATATAGATATCAGTAGTGTTTATTGCCCTCTTGATCAGGGAAAAATGCATTCCCTTACTTTGGAGTTATCTCTATCTTCATTTCCTCAGTAATGATAGATTGTGTTAACTTCTAGAGCATCTCTGTACTGAAGTGAAAAATCTGTTTGTACATAAGTATTGGTTACTTAGGAGTATCAGGTCCCGTCCCCCCAGTGTTTCACCTACTACATTGCTTACATATTATGTAAACCTAACCTGGTCTATGCTAAAAGAAGGGGGGAAAGGCTAGTAAAGGAAAATTTGAAAAAAAAAACCTTCCTGGAGCTTTGTCAGTTGTCATACATGCCCTATTTTTACCTGAAAATCGAATGTCATCATAGGAGTAGCTTTTCTGCAGAATGTACATGCTTGCCAAAAATGCTCATAAAAAAAAGAAAAGAAGACAGGAGTGGGGCAGGGGTCAAAAAAAAAGCAAAAGTTGATTCTTTCATTGCCCATTAACTTGTTTCCTGGATGTAAGTGACATATAACACAACCCATGTTTTTCTTTCCTTCATGTGCACATTTTTATTTATTTATTTGATTTGTCAATCGCTTACAAGATGATAAGTATAAGTATAAACATGAGTATGAATACAGGAAATAGGTACGAATAAATGGGGACAATAGGACAGGGACGGTAGGCATGATTGTGCACTTATGCACACCCCTTACAGACCTCTTAGGAATGGGATGAGTCAATAGTGGATAGTTTAAGGTTAAAGGAGTGGGGGTTAGAGGATGTAACAACAGAGTCAGGTAGTTCATTCCAGGCATTGATCACTCTGTTGCTGAAGTCGTACTTTCTGCAATCAAGTTTGGAGCGGTTTACATTGAGTTTGTATCTGTTGTGTGCTCTTGTATTGTTGTGGTTAAAGCTGAAGTAGTCATTGACTGGTAGGACATTGTAACAGATAATTTTATGTAGCAGATAATTTTAAGCATGTACTCCACTTAAGTTATTATGGTTCGTCATAGAGTCAGCCAGAAATTGAGACTTGGATTTGACATTTTTATTCACCTATTGAGTTCTTTACAAGGATCTAGGATAGGCAGATGCTGTTGATTGATAGTCTTAAAAGTATCATTGCAGTTGGGGATGAAAAAAAATCTATACTAAAGTAATTAAAAACATACAAAACCAGCCAATTAGTAATTAAAAACATACAATCACCAGCCATTTAAAAACCAAGTAAAACAATGAATGTAGAATTCATCTTACTAAAATTATTTAAGAATCACTATAAGGGGGACTAGTTGAATATAGGCTTCAAATGTGACTTTGATAAATCAGACATTAAACATCTTAAAAGTACAGATTTTAATAAAAGAAGTATCCAGCAGAGATCTGTTAGTATATGTTTAATTTGTCTGGATTACTTGTTTATATCCCATTGATTTAGACCAATTTCATCAATATGCTTTCTCCATGCTGAGTGAGAATTCCCAACAGATCTTAAAAATTTAGTTGTACGTAGCCCAAAGTCTCTTTATCAGGGAAATTGGCAGTTCCTAAATCTGACTGATTGATAAATAAATTAATAAATCAACAAAATGCCAAGCTGGGAAAAGTTGACCCACACCCCAGATGGCCACCACTTGTCTGCATATAGAAATCGACTCTCCAGGACACAATCAAGAGATTACAATTTTTCCCAAGCTGCTGTAGGACTGTGCAAGAGATTAATTTTAACAATGACATCACAGGAAGTTGTACTGGCAGATTAGTTTGACTGTTTTTCCATTTTGGCATTTTAAAAAAAAGATAGGAATGGAAATTGGCAAGTTCTGGGAAGCAGCCTATTCCAATTTCCATGCTTAAAAACTTAAACACCATAACATCACACAATTTCAGGGCACTGTTGCGGTTTCAGACAGTCTCTTAAATGTGAAATTTCAAAAGGTTGATTCTTTCTATTTCCTTCTTATTTTTGGGAAAAAAAATGACCATTTGGGAGCATAATTACAAGAAGATATGCAAGCTGAGGTTTGCCCATTCCTGCAACAGGGATTGATATTTTCTGCACAAACTAACCCATTGGCTCCATAATCAAAATGCAATAATGATCTCACATCATAATTATGAAACAACTGTATATAACCGTGCCATTGCTTACAAATGTATCATCTTACAAAAACATACTAAAATCTAGAATGTCTTGTTTCTTATAGAACTCTGTTGCTCTGAAGGTGGAACCAAATCTAATGTTATACATTCAAAAGATGTTGATTACAATTAAGTAAATGGTTTAAAAGAAGATGCAACTCAAGAGACAGCAGTTGGCCATCTCTAACTCAAGCACTAGGAGCTAAATATAACTGTGACCTTCTCTGGATTCTACTTTAGTATGTATACATTGTATTTATGTGTAACTTGCTGACTCTTAATTTTGCCCTTTATAATTTGCAGTTCAACTCACAATATGTTATTTAAAATAGTAGACAAATGTGTATTATATTATTGAAAGCCCAACTACATAAATATAGAAGCACATGACATAATCACAGATTTCATCATCATAAACGAAACTAAACAAATTCAAAATAGATTAGCAGCTCTTCTGTAACTATGGGAAAATTCTATGGGAAAATTCTAAATGAAATAGTTACATTTTACATGCAGTTGTTTGTTTATAACATGATCAGTTACATCTTGTCTCAAAGATGACATGCATTAAAACAGAACTGCGTATTTTCATTTGCTTACATATATGTACATGTACATTTACAATTACAATCAGTTGTATTACAATCCAATACAGACATAGAGAGAAGATTCTGATGTGGTGATTTGTATGCTTCAAGAATGAAACATGAATGGCAATTTCAAAGTCCTTGAATTGAAAAGTTTTCAAAATAAAGGACTGTCCTCTAGCTATCCCTCAGTTAAAAGACTCATGTGTAACATAAACATTTGGACATGTTATTTATTCACCCTAAGGGTGAGTTACAGTTTGAAGAATGTAAGAACAAGGCTAGCTCAGTCCATGTGTCCAGATAGTCCAGCTATCAAGCGTCAGGGAAATCAGGACATCCAGACAGTTTAATAAAGATTTATTGCAAGCTTAATAGCAAGCAATAGCACTCAGACTTATATACCGCTTTATAGTGCTTTACAGTCCCCTCTAAGCAGTTTTACAGAGTCAACATATTGCCCCCAACAATCCGGGTCTTCATTTTATCCACCTTGGAAGGATGGAAGGATGGAAGGATGAGTCAACTCTGAACCTGGTGTGATTTGAACTGCCAAATTGCAGGCAGACGGTAGTCAGCAGAGATGGCCTGCAATAATTCACTCTTAGCACTGCACCACCGAGGCGCTCTACAAGAATCTGAACCACTAACAGTTGAAGCAATTTGGTGGTAGATAAGGAATTGACAATGGGCTGGACTTAGATCTATTGTAGGTGTGAAGGGATTCATGACTGCTGACATTTTTGACCCCTTCCTTGGGCTCAGCCTAGCCATCTCCTACACCAGCATTTTGGATGGGACATGGCTACCCAAGTGCATTTGGAAAGCTCAGGTGCACATGCAGAAAGAATGAAACTCTTTTTAACTGGTATGTACTAACATCTGGTATTCAAGACATAGGATACAGCTGTCAAGCCTACTAGCTATTGATAGCCCAATCCTATCTAAATTAGTGTCCATCATCAGATCACTGCTGAGCTTGAATGTATTCTCTGGTAAAGTAATATAGTTTTGATATTTTTCATGTATGTAAAAAACTCTAAAGAAGGAAGCCAGAATGAAAAACTCTTAGATTTTTCTGGGAAAAAAATCAATACATAAACATAGTAATGTTTTAATAGCGTTTTCATATTTTCACACATTTTTTCCTCTGCTTACCACAGCTCAAATATTTTACTAGGGCACAAGCTGGGGGCAGAGAACAGAAAGGTTTTATGGTATCATTAGTAAGTCTTCACACACAACTATTTTTGTGCTAAGATTAGTGTCTACTTCCAAGTCTTCCTATTGGAAACAGCAGGAATCAAAGTTCCAAAGTGAGACAGATGTCAGCAAACTTAGAAAGGGGAGGGACAAGGGATACAGAATCTCTTCATGGAAGAAGTCAGTCAGTTACTTAGAGTCCCAGGAATGTATTGCATCAGCTTAGTTAAAATGTCTTGAAAGGAGCCAAGCTTTCTGCTAATGCAATATATGACAGCAGTCCCTGGTGCTTTATTTCTCCCTTGTGTATATCCACATTTCTTCTTAGACAAACAATTTTGCAGTTTGTGGGTATGAATTTAGACAAACAACTGGAATAGGAAATAGATTGCAACAACCAAACAGGGAGCTCCCATTCCATTGTATGAGAAAAAAGTGGACTTCTAGAAAAATATCTGCAATCATGGGGAAATCCCACTATGGTCATGGTTACTGACTACAAGCAAGGGCATGGTCCCAGGATCAATATTTTTCAGATATTTTTCATATTTTCAGTCTTGTTGATTTCCTTTTATTTTTTTTCAAATGAATTTATTAAGATTGTAAACATGAAATAACTAATATTTAGAAAAAAAAAGAAAGATGTAAAGGAATAAAGGAAAGATAAAGTGCATAAAAAGGAACTTGAAGGCATAGGTGCTATATTATTATGTCCATATTGTGCACATCTATGTTTAGTTCTTTTAACATCAATTTCTTTGTATTGATTCTGAGGGCATCTCTGAGGTGTTGGCATTGTTCAGGGCTGGCACACTTGTGGTGACACACTTGTGGTCCAATTTCTCTCTTCAGCAACTGAATCACTTTACTTCTGGATCAACTGAGGTGCCAGAGGGGCTCCTCTCAAGTACATGGGAATAAGTTCTTTCTCCACTTGCTTCACCAGTTCCAGGTATTCTTTGTCAGGCCTAATAATGACAATGTTGGCTTCACACCTCCCCTTTGGTAATTCAGGTACCGCTGCAAGGATGAAATGGGGAAGACTCCATTGGTTTCTCTCTTCTTTTTCACAGGAGACTAGAAACGCGTAGACACTATAACCATGTTAATAATTTTATTTCATTCCATTATGTGTGGAAGGTTCTTTTGCCTACAGAGCCTGCAACAGTTCAGAGCAAGACCAATCATTTCTTTTATTTGTCTCAGCACTGTACTACTGGTAATGATTTAGAAATACTTTCAAGTTATTTTGAAGGATTTTGAAGGATAGTAAATGGAGATGGAGTGGAACTGCTTCAAATATCACACTATGCCATTTGAGCAGTATATATTCAGACTGGGACAAAAAGTCTAAACCTATATATTTCTTTTGCTTGAATGAACTTGTTGTATACAATCAGTCATGAACAATGTCAAGGTACATTTTATTTCAATTACCAATTACAAACTTACATCCTGCCTTTTCAACTTAAATGAGATAGACAGCATAATTAAGCACAATTATTTTAATAACTAGAAATAACCAAGAAAACATAGGACTTATGAAGCTTCTTGGATGAGAAGCAAAAACAACTTCTTCCTCAAGGAAAAAAACAGTCCTGTTGCCTTTTGAAAAAAACACATTTGAAACAACTATGATCTGGATGAATCTCCACAAAAACGCAGGAGATAGTCAGCAACCCAATTTGCATAAATACACAATCTAGAAGTCAGACAAACCATAAGTTTGTTGGAATAAAAATATGGTGATCTGGAAGTTAAACTGCATGAGGGAAAGAATCAACATGTTGTCTTGGAGCAGGAAATTCCATTGCCTGAATGTCATAGATACAATCTTCTTCTGCCTTTTGGCTAGGTCAAGTAGACCCACTCCAGAATAGATGAACTGTGGTCTCCAGCAGGCCAGGATTTTAAAAAGAAGATCATTTAGAAAATCTGGACCTTGTAGAAATTAACTCTTCTCTTAACAGTCCCTGGCTGCTGTTAGCTCCAATGTTTTCATGCAGTATCTTACCTTCCTTGTGTTAAGATTGCACCTTGAGTTGGGATAAAGTCTAAATCCAGGATGATTTGGGAAAATTCAGGATGTTTTTATTTGCTTGAGAGAAACTGTACAATAAAATGTACAATAAACATTGGCTTATGTTAAGAAGATCCATTGGCCAATTTCACAAGATAGTTGATGAGGTTTTGTTTGGAAGAGGAAGTGTAGTAAGGAAGGATAACTTCTGTATTTATTTATAAAATTTATGGCTACCTATCTTACATAGGGTAGCTCTGGAAGTCTTACAGTCATAAAAATACATCTATACATATACATTAAAACATACATTAAAGCCAAACATTAAAATTTAAGGACATATGGGGAAGATAGGGGCAGAGTGGAAGGAGGTGGGGTTTGTTGTTATTCAATCAACCACCTGCACTGTGTGTTCCCCCAGTATGTGATGCAATTGACAGTCAAATGTTGAAGGAAAAGAAGAGTGATCTTTTCTATAAAAGAGTCAGAAAATAGGCAATTACAGACATTTAACATTGTTATATAACTGTTAAAAATAAAAAGGTCAAAACAATAAAGAAAAAGTATTTTTTTTTTAAAAAATGTCTTTGTTTCCCTATATTTTGTAATTAGGGGTTTAATTCAGACTTGATCACAGTAATAATCCTTATTAGAAAAGATTCTTGCTGACCATGGATAGCACCCAGTTCTTCTCCTTCCATTCTTCCCATTAGAGTACAAATACTAGAACACCAATTGCAAACCCCAAGAGGATTTCCCCCTTTTTGCCTTAGCTGCCCTACAATATCACTATTTAGAATGTAGCAGAAACTCCAAAATGCAAAACAGGTTTGGGGCTTTGCACAATCTTTTGAATTAGGCAGGTTGGTTTGAGCATTTTTAAAACTACTGACATCTGCCCATTTGTACTCTATCCAAGACCAGTCTATGTTATCTATTATAAATTATTCTTCACAATAAGAAATCCTGTCTGATGACTTCAACATTTGTTCAAAGGATGTCATTTGTTGTTAAATTATACCTACTTAGATTTTATGGTAAATGCATTTTGTAACTGCAAATCTATTATCCTTTATATTTAGGAAGCTATAATGAGAAATTGTTGGATTTCAAATTGTGCCTTCCATTATCATTGAAATTATCTGAAAACATATCACATGTCAGGAATATTTAGGGAAAATCATTTTATCCTGCATATATTTTTGGACTTCAATAAACTCAAAAGGTAATTGAATCCAGATTAAGCTATTTAGCTAAATAAATTATAGTGTTGTATGCTAGGCCTCCTGCTGTATTCTATTTAGCTTATACTTATTAATATTGGAATACAATCTTCTCTGCATAACAGAAACACTAATTTAAAAACCCATTAAAATATCCTTGTTTATAACTTCTTGGCTTCTGCATTTGCTTAATTTCATATAGACTG